TGTTACATTGCATTTTCTCATTTATGTTCAATACTGTACTTGCTTACCTGGCCTTTGGCTGGTTAGTTTCAAAATTAACATTCCTCGAAGCTTTTATTCCAATCTAATAGATTGGATTTAATTATATCCCTCCACAAAAAAAAAAAAAAAAAATCATTGAAAAAAAAGAGTATGATTGAAAAATGTCCCAATCTTGATAAAAGCTAGGTTTTAGCAAACTTTTGGTTAAATTTTGTTTTGTATAAATTAGTATAGCAAATTTTAGTGTTTTCGATGAAAAACATTAATTTGGAAATTGTTGCAAAAACAAATGTTGGATTTTAATGAAACTTTCAGGACTTATGCACAAATGAATGAAATTATTTTAGAATTTTTTTTTTTTTTTTTTTTAAACATGTGTTACACTCCACTTAATATGAAAACCCAAGAAATTTGATGAGAATTTTTTTTAGTGACTATATTAGTTAAAAACAGAACTCCTTGGAAAATTTAAATCAATTGGGGGGGGGGGGAAATTGGACCATGTCTTAATGGAAATCTGATATCAACTATAAAATAAAAAAATGCAATAAAACTAAGACATTAGTTAATTAGAAAAGCTTTAATTATTTTTTTTTTTAAATCATAATTGAAAAGCTCATTACAATCTGAGGTATACCAGTATTTTAAAATAAAATTCGAATTGTTTTTTTTGTAGTACAGATAATATTTTCCTAAATTTTAAAGGAAAAAAATAAATAAAAGGGGGGCGGGGACACTGTAAAAACAATATTTTCTTAATTTTACAATTAATTTTTTTACGGATAAAACCAACCGTAGAACAACATTAGATAGACAATCTGTCAACACATCAACAGATTAAATAAAAAAACAGCTACCTACGTTTTAAAAAATGCATTTCTGCGATATAAAACTTAAAAAGTTTATTTCAAATCAGATTATGCATTCGGTTAATATTCCTCGAAAATATAATTTAATAATAAAAAATCCTTTGGTCATTCCTCTTAGTCTTAATACTTAATATTAAAGATTTTGACGACAAAACCTTTAAGTTTGGGTTATTTTTTCATTATGTTCATTTTTTTTTTTTTTTTAGCGAAGGTACCTATTTCTGTTACTACCGGGTCCTAAAGTTATGTTTTTTTGTGATTTTGAATAATGAGTGCAAGTGAAACTTCTGTAAACCCAGAGATTTTATTTTATTTACTATTTGTTTAAATAATTAACTTCTAATTCTATCAACAGTTGCGTTTAGTCGTGTTTAAAATCAAACGTCATAAAAACAAAAACAGGCTTTTCAAACTTTTTTCTCACTAACCGCCCATAAAAAATAAAAAAAATTTTAATTCACTATTTTCATTTTGTTAAAAAAAATACATTGGCAATAAAATTCCGTGATAAGTGTACTAACAAATCAATTATTTGTTCTGGCGATTTTTTTTTTATAATTTAAAAAAAAAAAAAAAAAAAAAAAAAAAAATCAGTTAAAGAAATATTTTAATATTTTGTCGACCATCATCTAAGAAAAGTTTAAAAAATTATTTTCATTACAAGGAAATGAAAGAATTATCAAATTGCTGTGTGGATCGACTTTTTAGAGAACACACCTCTCCAGTTTTACGATGGCTCACAATGACCAAAAAGTTCAAATACCATGTTGTAGTTTTACAGATTTTTTTACCCTCTTCAATAAACTAGAAATAATTTTTTTTTAATTATTGGAAAGAGGACAAAAACAAAATTTACAGGTATCATGAAGACTTTTTTTTTTTTTGTGATACAAAAAAACGATCACCACACCCGTAACTTTCTCGAGAAAGGAGGAAATAAAACACAACTAATTTTTTTTCATTTAAAAGTTAAAAGCTTTTAATTCAACAAAACCACATGCCTGCGTACTGAACGAAAGAACTGATTTCTAAGCGCACCTGTTGACAATGACATCGGCCAATTGTAGCTGTATTTATCATATGTGATGACCACGGAAATGTTACGATTGAGAATCCGACAGAAAATACAAGATATTTGTTAATTTGTAGCTTTTTAGAAAAACTTGCATTTAAATGGGTTGCAGTAATAATTTCAGCGAAAAAAAGTTAATTGGTAAAAAAATTAGAAGCATGACGGTACCTTTCTCTTTTAAAATGTACAAAATAAGCTTTAGTTTAAAAACTTATATTTTGACCATAACATTTTTTAAAGCAAAATAGTACAAGTACTTCCCAAATATTTGCCTAGTATGACAAGAAACAGTGACGTTGTGCGTTGAGCCAAGCTTTCAATTAAAGAGCGACTATTAACCTTGAAAATAAATTTGTAATTATTTTTAAAGCTATTTTTCATTCAGACATTCTTGCTTCCTCGTAGGTGAGGGATCTTGAAATTTCCATAACTAGTTAAAAAGTAGCTAGAAAATATGACAAATTACATCAATCCACGTTTGTTTTTCTTTAATGAAGTTTTTTTTACATTTCATTTTTAAATCTTCGTTTATTTTCACTCAGATAATTTCTAGAGTGAATTCGTTTTGAAATCTTCCGATCGGTAATCTCACGTTCACGAAAAACATACACTACAGAATCCAAGTATAAACTTAACTTTCCAGTAGAACTCTTAGTCTAGTGTTTGAATTGCTTTAGTTTAAACAAAAAAAAAACTGTATTATAATTTTATCTTTTATAACTTCTACACTTCATAATAGACACTGCACATTAACCAGTCATTAAACTTTAATTTATAGTAGTTAATAAAAATTTATATGCCTTCTCATAAAACACCCATTATTGTGATGTAGGTTTCAAAAGGAAACTTTTCAAAACCCGTCTGAAATTAGAATGTAATTGTAATGTACTTCTTTCTTTCACTTCCCCCTCAGAAACATCCTTCTTTTTTGAATCGTGAAGAAAATTTTAACTTTATGTCAATTTATTAAGAAAAGATAGTTAATGAAGAAAAAAATATTTTTAGTTTTAGACGAAATAATACAGCTGATGGATGATACAGTGGACATGATGAGGATGTAGGAAGTCTTCACTCGTAACTACAAACAATTCTGATCATAAATCTACATGATACATAAAAAAAAAGGCTATGGAGATTGATACCGCTAAATTGTCAGTGTAAGACTAAAAATTTAGTTTTAATTTATAAAATGTTTTCCATTTCTATAAGAAATGTAATGTCGATTGAATAGGCTGAACGAAACAAAACGAGTTTTTGTTTAAGTTTAATTGTCCGAACGAATAAATCTTGAAATGGGGAGAAAAAAAACACTTCAAAACTTCGTCTACTAATCTAAAATTCAAGTATTTCAGAAGGGTTAAAAAAAAAAAGCACAAAATTATCGAGAAACAAGGCGAAAATAAACAATATTTACAATACATTCATTAATTTGATTGGGGAGAGTAATGATATGTAAGATTAAGAAGACGAAAGCTTACGCAAGAATTCATCAATATTATCCTTTTGTCGCTCACAAAAACAAAACAAAAAAATGCAAAGTGACGGGTGCGATTATAACAACAATAAAAATGACAACTAAATTTAGAAAAATAAGTTAACAGAAATTCATGTAGTTATTGATTTGAAAATTTAATAATGCCAGATTCAAAGATCACTTGTAAAAAACGCCTTTAAAAAAGTTATTCACACACAAAAAAAAAAAAAAATATATTAGATAAAATATCCCCAGGGAACGAAAATTAAGAACAATACGATTCATTACAAAGATTGAGTTATGCTACAAGTTGAAAGTAATTTTTTTTTAACGATCGATATACATTTTAAGAAAAATGAATAACTGGAATGAAAGAAAGAGTGAAATAAAAATCCTGACTAAGCAGTTTAGAATGTGAATTGCCACCGGCAATTCTTCTTGAATGGTTCTGAATGAATTTTTACCTAAAATTTTTAGGCCCATCTTTCATCAATCAGAAAAAGAATAAATGGATTTAACAACAGCTGTAGTCAAAGATATCTTTTCTTCATTTAAGAAAAAAAACAAACAAACTAAAAAGAAACGACAAGAGACTATTTTATTTTTTCTAAAAAGAATGCAGTTTGTTTTAACACACCTCAATAATTGTAAATTCAATTTTTAATGTATAGCTTCAGAAATATTTTCATTCATTCTAACACCCAATTTTTTGAACAGAAAGTAATATCTAACTAGAAATAAAAGGGGGAGATTTAAGTTCATTTAAAAAATAAAATATATATTGATTTTTAAAAAGGTATTTTATAAATTTATAAAACAACTTTTTTTGCTTGTGATATTTCAAATAACACAATCAAAATTGTTAAAAAAAAAAAAAAAAAAATGTTTATTCATTTATTTATTAAATAATAAAATATGAGTAAGAAGACTTTCACTTTAGTTTCCAAACCAACATCAATCAATTCAATGTGGAATTATTTAAGAAATTATATAACATAACGAGACGAGTGGACGACCGAAGACAAATAAAATAAAAGCCCAAAATGGAAATGTTACATGTGCATATTTGAAAAGAAGCTATGAATATGTATGGCAACAGATATTGTTGTTATTCTTATTTTTATGCCCTCATTGAAAAGAGGAAAGAAGGTGTACACCCTGCAACAACATAGTAACAAAAAAAAGTATAAAGCTCGGGCCACAATTCTTGTTACCTTAATTTATCTTTCCTTTGATTTCAATCAATTATTAACACAAATATATTAAAATAGACAACAATATAAAGGGTTAAAGGTATGCAACACAGAACTGATGCAGACATGTAAAAAAAAAATAAGTTTCATTTATAACTTGGATTTAAATCATTCCACACATAAGCTAAAGTATCAAGAAATTTGGGCCGCATTCTTAAATCTTTTTTTAAGCTACACACAAGGAATTGACATCCAGCCGCATGGATGTAACGCTTTTAACACAATTTGAAATGAAACAACAGTCAATTAGGGAATAACCAAATACCTTGTAATCAGGGGTAGATTTAGACACCATAAAAGTGAACACTTACCAAAGTAATTTAGTAAAATCCTCTCTTATTTTCGTTCTAGAAGAACCTCGCTTGAATAAGAAGCCATCCACTATTCCGAAAACCGGAAGTGGTACAAAAAAACTTTCACGCATGCTCATTCCTTTCCATTTGGTTGTTAATATTCATGACGACCTAGTTTTGAATTACACTTGTTTCTTTTCCTTTTTTTGGGTCGATGGAGGGGGAAGCTTTTACAGAAAATAGATTGATTTTGTTTTGATTTATTTATTTAACTGTTTCATTTTTATTTAGATTTATATACTTGATATTTGTTTTATTTGCAACTACTATTTTTTATATCCCTGTGCGCTTTTGTTTTCTATTTTTTTTTGCAATGTAAATTAATGTTTCTTTTTAGACTTTTTTGTAATGTAACATTCGTGTTCCAATTTAAGTCAGATCTCTATATGACTTTTGCGGACATCAGCAGTCGAGTAGGTTAAAGCAACGAGATTTAAGGGTTCATCCCATAAATTACTCAGTTGAATCATTAACCTGTGTATGCGATCAGTCTTACTTGTGGTTTTTAAAGAAAAATAATCAAAATTTTCAAGCAGTTTCTTAGTAGAACTTATAAACAAAAGATTTTTTTTACTTTCTTTAAAAACAAGAAAAGAAAATGGAAAGTTACTTAAAGTATTTTGGATTTTACAAGTAAGAGTTAATTTTTTTTCCCACAACATAGAAGCTAAAAGAAAAATCAACTGTACATTCGAAAATTTTATTCATGTAAATTTTAGAAATTGCCAAATAAAGAATACCTCGCCGTATTCTGGCATTCAGAATTAATTCCTGAATTACTGAAAAGAAAACTCCTTTTTTCGTGATTTCCAAAAAAACACAAAATATTGCAAAATATTTATTGTAAATTTTTAAAGGAATATGTTAAGCAATGGGGATTTTAAACAAATAAATGACCATTATATATTGTTTTTGATTTTATTGGATATTTTTAATTAAAGAAATCATCAATTTCAATATTCAAAATAACTTATCAGTTCTGCAATAAAACTTAAACAACCAAATTAAATTTTTTGCAGGAGTTGAGGGCCAAATTTACCCTTGGCAGCCACTAAGTACTCTTTTCATGTTTTGCATAAAATATCTTGCAGAAGATAAGTCTTGATTCTTGAACGTGATCAACTTCTTTTTTCATTTATATTTGTTCAAACACTAAAAAATGTACCCTAATCTTTTGCATCTACCTACTTCTTACATATACTTTGGGAATTTGCTATGTAGAGTAGTCTGACTCGGAACGAAATTACTCACACTACTTTTTTAATAAATCCTACCTGCGATGCACAGGTTATAAAGAAGTACTTAGTATAAAATTACTTTATTTATAAAATAATTTTATTGGAAGATTGGGAATATTATAATTTTATAAATTAATAAATTTTTATTTTTCTAATGATGTAAACACTGAAAGAAATCTTTAAGGCTTAAAACTAGGTTTCGTATCCATAAAGAAATGTATAAATAAAAAAATAATTATAGTGTTACAGTGTCATGTCCATAAAAAATAAATAATATGAATTATAGTGTCAAAAAATAATTATAATAATATAACTATAACAGTTTGTTATAATTATCATTAATTCACTCATTCGATAGATCCTACTTTTCTCCTTTACACACAAAAACATGTGACATGCTCACTATCGGACAAGCAGTTCAAACAGACAGGTCGTTAACACGTGTGTCAACAAAAATTTCATCTCCTTTTCCTTTTTCAGGTCATAATAGCAACATTTATCCTTTAGTACTCAAAAATTTGAGGTTAGAAAACTCCAGACACTACTTGTATTTTTTTTAATACTCATCACACAAAAAATATATTTTAAAAAAACATACAAGAAAGACTGTATACATCTTACTTATTCTTTATCTTATAATTCTATCAGATTACGATCCATATTTCATCTACATTTGACCCCAAACTCACAATTTTATTCAGTATTACTGTCTCTCATGTCTCCAGCACCACATAGCAACCAGATAATAAATAATACTCATCTTGTTTCGTTGTTTCCTTTTTTTGCTTTTTCACATTTTTTTGTGAGTATTTTTATATATATAAATGTTAGGGAGTTTATTTATTTTTCACAACACCACCAAAAAGAAAAAAAAAGCTCAAGTAACCCAAAATATTTGTACAGCCATTTTTTGGGATTTGTCTTATATTTTCCTCTCTCATTCCGAAAATCTTTCTATGAACTTTGATAATAAGGTATGAAAATGACTCTGATAATAAGGTTTGAAATGACTATTGGCCAATGTTTCTTTTGTAAAAAATGCATTGTGGAACATTCACTTGTTATAAAATGGCAATTTGGAGAAATTTACAATAGTTTAAAGAAACAGAAAACTTTTGCACAGTACTATATTATATGAATTTAATATGTAGTTTAAATTTGTTGTTTGCTATTTTTAGTAATAAACAATTTTATTGCAAGAAGGCCATTCTTATATTCATCCCTTATTTCTTGTCAGTCATTGTGGCATACTGATGGTTCATTTGCATCCAGATGCTCATCATTGGATTGGCTTCATACCTTACTCAAAGATATTATTTTGAAAGTGATATCAACATTCACCAAGAGAATTTGAAGTCGGCTTATGATTTCTATTTTCCAAGTCACTTTCAATTGTGCCATTGTGGGGAATTCAGTTGTTCAAGTTTTTTTATATTAAAATTCCAAACATTCAAATTCCAAACTATAATAAAATAAAAATAAAGAAAATGTGGGTATGCCTGTTAAATAAATCATTTGTAGGTGATTACTTGGCAACAAGCCCATCTTGCACAATGGCTGTGTCAAGAGCAGTAGATCAGTTGCAAATTCTTGTTTTGATCACCAACAGTGTCCTGCAAAGTGCATTTGGCATTTGCATAAGATTGCAGAAATATCAGAGATGGGTCCATAGAGTTAGGATTTAATTGGATGTTGTCTCCAAGAGATGTTAAGTATAGTTCTCAGCATCCAAGTGTAGGTTCCATCAAGCTTAGACTCTACGGTTTTAGCTAATGTCTAAGCAGTGGCACCATACATTAACATCACCTCTACAGTGTCTTGAAAGAAGTTTGAGGTTGTCTGGTACATCAGATTTCTATATTACATCCATTTTATTCAAGGTGGCCCAGGCTATGCGAATTTTCACATCCTTTTCAGTAGAATTTATCTTGCTTCCTAGGCATGTAAAGATTCAACAAATTTTATTTATTCACCTGAGAAAGTTTGTATTGAACTTTGTTGGTTGAAGCCTATGAATTCAGTTTTAGAGGTATTAACATAGAGTTGAACATCATTAACAGCATTTTCTAGATAATGGTAATGGTGTCTGCAGTAATAGTTAGGTCATCTGCATAGTCAATATCTGTTAACTTTTTTTGCAGGATATTGACTTGAGAGTTTTGATAAAGTAAAATTTAGATGATGAAAGGAAATTCTCAATATATAGTCAATGGTGATAACAAAGAGAAAAAGTGCAAGGATGTCACCCTGAAAAACCTCTGCTTTGATGTCAAATAAACTAGTGTCTTTGTCTGTTGATCTTATCAGAGATTTGGTATTTTTGTATAGCATCATTATGGCAGCTATTGTCTCAGAGGAGATACCATATGCCAGAAGGATCTTCTCCATTTTCCTCTATGTACCAAATCAAAGGCTTTAGAGAAATCTACAAAAAGTAAAGCAGCCTGTAGATTCTTTGTGCTGACAGCCTCAATAGCCCACTGAACAGTCGGGATTTGTCCAATGGTTGATATATTTTTTCTAAAGCCATTTGGATTTTTTTGAAGCACCTTCTCTACTTCAAGTTGTATTCTGTTGAGAAGCATTGAGTTGTAAATTTTTGCTGCAATGGAGGTGAGTGTGATTCCTCTATAATTTTTCCCAATCCTAGATCTCCTTTCTTTGGGAAAGGAAGTATGCAGCCTTCTGTCTATCTACCTATGATTTTTCCAATATATCTGGCATTATAGAATTGAAGTAGAATATTGTTGAAATCCTGGGTCTTCCAAACCTCTGGAGGAATGTTATCAAGAATATCTGAAAGGTTGTGAATATGGCAACAAAGATGAGGACAACAGTTCGAACAATGTAAATAGAAATAGTGTAAATAATTACAATACCTCATCTCAGAAATCTAGACAGATATTTTAATATGGTATGTATGTGGGTATATATCATTTGTGTTGGAAATAGGGTTTATTTCCTATACCAGGTTAAAGTATTTTCCATGTATAGCCTCTTTGATAAGTGATTTGTTGAACATTCAGGTTCATATTATGCATTTTAAGGTTTTGTCCCTTACTACAATATGATGCATTGCTTGTAAACTGCATCAACAATTTAGTGTTCAGGACCAATGTGATAAAAAATGTATTTAAAAATCAATATAAGAATTACTTATTTTTAAACCAATATATTCACAGGAAAAGGTGTTTATCTGACTATAGTAAAAATTCAGGGTTATATTTTTATGGTCCATCAATGCAGTTAAGAGATCTCAAAGCTCACATTTAATGCATAAGTATACAGATAAATGTATAATCACACAGTGATCATTATTTATTGGAATAAATTCATATATTAGTTGTTTTTTAGCATTGCAGCCTAGTGTCATGGTTAGCAAGCTTTGTTTGCCAGATCAATTACAACTGAATAGTGAGTTTGATCTTCACTGGGAACTCCAAGCTTTCAGTCGTCTGCCACAAGTAAGCTACATTTACTAAATCACTATGCTTTGGGAACTTTGACCTGGTATAATGGTTAGTAAGCTTGTCTTGCGAGATCAATTACAGCCAAATAGTGAGATTGATCCTCAGTGGGTGGCCCATACATTCAACCTTGTATCACATCTAAGCTGCACTTACAAAATCACAATAAATTACTTGTTTTCTTCATGACACCTCCTGATTAAGTTGTAAAAGACTATCAAAAAGGATTTTGCATCTGTTTTCTTCCAGTTACAAAATATATTTTCTTAATTAAATCATTAATAGTTATACATATCTGGATTATATGACCCATTTCCATGTATTCTCCTTGATTAGATTCTGAAAGGATCCAATGTATATCATCTCATAGTGACCATTATATATATCTTGAAGTTATGACCCATTACAATTATTCTCATTGCATAGCTTCTATAAGAATCCAGTTCATATCATTTCAGAGAGACCATATCTTGATTTTATGAAGCATTAGAATTATTCTCTTTGCTTAGCTTCTGAAAGGATCCAGTTTACATCATCTTATCGTGACCATTTTATATATATTTTCCTATTATGACCATTTACTATTACTTACCTTGCTTAGCTTCTTAAAGATTCCAATGTATATCATCTCATTATTATTGATTTTATAATCCTTTCCAGTTATTCTCCTTGCATAGCTTTTGAAAAGATCCACACTACATCATCTCATCATGACCATTACTTATACCTTTATTTTATGGCTCTTTCCAATTATTCTCTAAATCTAGATTCTTAAATGATCCAATGTATATCATTTCATGGTGACCATTACATATATCTTGATTTTATGACCCTTTACAATGATTCTCATTGCTTACACTCTGAAAGGATCCAGTCTATATCATCTCATTGTGACTATTATATATATGTTGATTTTGTTACCCTTTACAATGATTCTCCAATCTTAGCATCTTAAAGGATCCAATCTACATCAATTCATGTTTACCATTATACATAACTTGATTTTACAACCTTTTACAATTATTCTTTGTTCTTAGCTTCTGAAAGGATCCAATTTCCATCATCTTATAGTAACCATTATACATAAGTTGATTTTACCACTCTTTGCAATTATTCTCCTTGCTTAGATTCTTAAAGGTTGCAGTTTACATCATGTCATAGTGATCATTAAACATATATTGACTTTATGACCATTTAGAATTATTCACCATTCTTAGCTTATTAATGGCTCCAAAATACATCATCTCATTGTGGCCATTATACATATGTTGATTTTATGACCCTTTCCAATTATTCTCCTTTCTTAGTTTTTGAAAGGATCCACTGTACATCATTTCTTGCTGGCCATTATAAATATCTTTAT